TAAAAGCCACTGGGACGTTATGTTTAGAAAATAAACGTCTCAGTTTCTCTGATACTCCTTCAACATATGGAATGACCACTGGTCTGGGCCTGGGTTCCTCCTATTCACCTGTTGGCTGACTGGAGTCCTGTTTGGGTTTCTTCTCTGCTTTTAGGAAGGCCCAGTTAGGATATCCACATTGCTCTAGAGCCGGTCTTGTGGGGGATTTCTCCTTCTGCCTGGCTCCTGAGCTAGTGGGGACGCTGTCTGCTCTGTGATTATACTGCGATTCAACCTCAGATGTCGACAAAGTGGCATCTTTCCCAAGAGCCTGGAACTAAAATCTTCGGTCAGCGGGCACCGGGCAAGCAAGATCCTTCACAAGGCACAGACCCAGCTGCTGAACAAACAGGTGAGACGGACCAATTTTACAATTGAGGCCTTGAAGGCCAAAGAAGAGCACATTAAACAGAAACTAACTATGTGTCTAGATCAGACCACACTTCAGCAAGTGTTGGACTGTACAGATCAGGCACGCTTAGCACAGCATGTCAAGTCCAAGACTCGACAACAAAACAAGTTTAACTTACTAATAACTAATCAACACCATCACTATTCCAATAACAACACATTCAGTGTAGGACAACACTCCAGTAGTCAATTAAATGTCAGGGAGACAGAAAAGTGGGTGAAGAATTTATCTGACAGACAGCTCACCCAGCCGGAGACAGAGATTCTTGCCAGGGGACTAAACTTTGCGGTTGCACCAAGTAGAATTCCTCTGGTAGAGATGATCACAGCTACTGAGTCAGCCATCCGCAACAACAAAATTAAAGAGGCTGAAGCAGAACAGCTCAGAATCAAAGTTTCAGCCTGCCTCAGCAATGCCAAACCACCACCTTCCAACATCAGTAGAGAGGAGAGGGACACACTCACCACTCTTAGCAAGGACAAAAACATCATCATTCTCCCAGCAGACAAAGGAAGGTGCACAGTGATTTTGAACCAGAAAGACTATCATGAGAAAGTTATGACACTCCTTAGTGACGTAACCACTTATGAACCTCTGAAAAGAGATCCAGGAAGTGGTTACAAGAAGAAATTGATAGATTGCCTGAAAAATTTGGAGCAGGACAAGGCTATTGACCGTTTTCTGTACCACAGACTGTACCCAGGAGAGGCCACACCTAGTCTGTATGGTTTACCTAAAATCCACAAACAAGGTGTACATTTAAGACCAATCGTTAGCATGATTAACTCTGTCACTTACAATGTTTCCAAATATCTGGCGTCTGTACTCATCCCTTTAGTTGGCAGCTCAGAACACCACATACAGAACACCATGGACTTTGTGGACAAGGTGAGGGATGTCATCATGGAGACTGATGAAACAATGGTCTCTTTTGATGTCACATCACTCTTTACATACACTCCTGTTGATGATGCGGTAGAGGTGGTCAGTTTAAAATTAAAATCAGACACCACTCTGAGCAGCAGGACCACGCTTTCCACAGAACAACTGTGTCAACTCTTGAAACTGTGCCTGCAGTCAACCTACTTCACATATGGGGAGCAATATTATAGGCAGAAACTTGGGTGTGCTATGGGGTCACCAGTTTCTCCTATTGTTGCCAACCTGTACATGGAGGAGGTAGAAAAGAGAGCCTTGACATCCTTTTCAGGGACACCACCAAGTCATTGGTTCAGGTATGTTGACGACACCTGGGTTAAAATTAAATCTCAGGAAGTCCAACATTTTACTGACCACATCAACTCTGTGGATAAATACATCAAGTTCACACGAGAAGATGTAAAACATGGCAAGTTGGCTTTCTTGGACTGTGAGGTCTCAGTCTTTGATAGAGGACATTTGCAAACTGAGGTGTACCGCAAACCCATCCACACAGACCAGTATTTGCAGTTTGACTCCCATCACCCTTTGGAGCACAAGTTAGGAGTAATCAGGACTCTGTATCACAGAGCAGACAGCGTCCCCACTAGCTCAGGAGCCAGGCAGAAGGAGAAATCCCACACAAGACAGGCTCTAGAGCAATGTGGATATCCTAACTGGGCCTTCCTAAAAGCAGAGAAGAAACCCAAACAGGACTCCAGTCAGCCAACAGGTGAAAAGGAGGAACCCAGACCAGTGGTCATTCCATATGTTGAGGGAGTATCAGAGAAACTGAGATGTTTATTTTCTAAACATAACGTCCCAGTGGCTTTTAAACCCCAAAATACATTAAGGCAAAGACTGGTTCATCCCAAAGATCCAGTCCCCCAGCACAAACAGAGTAATGTTGTGTATGCTGTTCAGTGTCAGGAGGGCTGTGATCAGTCTTACATCGGGGAAACAAAACAGCCACTGGCCAAAAGGATGGCCCAGCACAGAAGATCAACATCATCAGGCCAGGACTCTGCGGTCTACACTCATCTCCAGGCCAGCGGTCACTCTTTCAGGGATGAAGATGTTCACATCCTGGATAGAGAGGAACGATGGTTTGAGAGAGGAGTAAAGGAGGCCATCTTTGTGAAAAGAAACTGTCCATCGTTAAACAGGGGTGGAGGCCTACGTGTTCAATTGTCCCCCTCTTACAATGCTGTGATTGCTAGTATCACTCAGCCCTCTGTGAACAGTAAACAGCTATCAGTGTGCTAATGATCCATTGTTAGGCTGATGGTCCTTCTTGAGCATGTGATCAGCTGGTTTTGGTTGTCAGCAGCAAAACTAGTTGATCCACTCTGAGAAGGTGCTATTTAAGAGACTGAGCTGAATACAGCACTTCAGACTGAAGAAGTCTCTCGGACGAGAGACGAAACGTTTCTACATTTTTTGTTGTTTTGCTTTTTGTTTTTTTGAATGTCCAGAGGACCAGACTTAACTTTTTTAGATTTTTCTACCTGGATTATTGAGCATGCATCAGGATATTAATTAGTTAGTTGATAAATAGTTTGTTTTTGATCTGTTTTTCAAGCCTGAAAAAGTAAGCAGAATCTTGCTCTCCCTCCTCTAGCCATCGTTTCCTGGATCTAATAAAGGCGTCTTCAGCCTTTTGTTGATATAAGTTGTCCAGTTTGTTTTGAAGTTCTATTAAATTTAACTTATCTTCCTCCAAGATTTCTTCTGGTGATTTCTTGTAATAAGAGGTAATTTTACTTATTACTTCTTCCTCTTCAGCTTTCCTCAGTTTAGAGATTCGACTCCCATATTGTCTTAAGAATTTGCAAGTTTCAAATTTGAAAAGTTCCCAATTACTGCAAAAGGACCTCTCTTTGTTACCCTTATTCCAATAATATAAAATTAATTTATTTATATGAACTTTAACCATTTCCAAGGAATTATTTAATTTCCAATAAGAACATTTGTAAGGTATATTATCAGGAGCATCAATTTGGATACTTATGTAAATAGCTCTATGATCTGTAAGAGTGGTGGCATGCATTTTAACAATAATGCTGTCTTTGTTAATATAGTTAGATACAAGCCAGAAATCAATACGAGATTGTGTGGATCCCATTTTATTACTCCAGGTAAAGCTTTTGTCTTCTGGAAATTTTTCTCTCCAAACATCCATAACATTAAATTTCTCCATAAAATGTTTTAAGTTTGCACTGTATGAGATCTGCTGCCTTGGAGGCCATCTATGGTTGTATTATCTAATGCAATGTTAAAGTCCCCGCCAATTAAAAGAATTGAGTCTGGGTATTTGGAAAGCCAGAATGTAATTCTTTCATCTAGAGAGTCAAATAGTTTGTCGTTTTCAGTTTTATTATTGTAACCATATATATTAACTGCAATAAATGTATTGTTATGGTGTCCAATTACTGAGCAGATGTAGTGTCCTAGGGTGTCACAGTCAGAGTGTAATATAGTTCTAAAGAAATTATTTTTAAATGTAGCAACCTCAGCGGAGCGCTCAGATCCATGAGATAACCAGACTTTATCTCCCCATAGTGATTTCCAGAAATTACTGTCAGCAGATGTGGAATGACTTTCTTGAAAAAAACAAAAATCGGTTTTAAGTTGTTTGGCAAATAAAAATAACGCTTTGCGCTACAAGCTTGTCTTAACCCCCTGGCGTTAAGAGAAACGAATGAAAAAGACAAAGTTACTAGAAAAGATTAACAAAAGCAACAAGTTATAAACTTTTAAAGCTAAGAGTGTATTCACAAGAAAAGGGGACGGAGTCCTGCGCGGTTTGAGTAATAAAGCGGTAAATAACTTGACTAAGCAAGTCTACCAAAAATATAGCACTACCGGTAAATATCTATTTTGATTTAACAGTAGTAATTTAGAAACTTCTAAATAAAACAAGGTAAGATATTTGTACAAAATAATACAATAACCAAGGGTAAATACAGATTATTAAAAGGAAACTAAATGCGTAGTCGTAATATAGACCAGGTTCATCCTGTAAATGAATTCACAAAAAGGTCATTTTTAAGGTTTAGGTGAGTGTCTATGAAGGAAGGAAGACTTCTGCTCCGTTGACAAATCCACGACCTCCAACGAAATAAGCTGGCTTACCCTCACTGCGAGCTTTGTTTATTATGGGCCACAGTTTATTATGACATTCTCTGTCCTGGGCCAACAAGAAATGACAGCTCTAATAGCAAGTGGCCATCAGGGCACTAACGATCAATTGTTAGGCTGATGGTCCTCCTCTAACATGTGAACAGCTAGTTCTGGATGTCCACAACAAACTGGTTGATCCACTATAAGAGGGCGTTATTTAAAAGACTGAGTTTGTTGTAGCTCCTCAGACTGAAGAAGATTTTTGGATAAAAGACAAAACGTTTCAACAGGAGAGAGGACCTGACTCAGTCTTATCGTCCGCCTTGTGGTTCACAAGATATTTTGCTAACAGACACAAATACAAAAAGCATTATCATCTTTTGGATCTGCAATAAATAATTATGGCAAAGCTTAAATAAAATGTAACTTTCTGACAGGTGGAGAGTGCACCTTCAGGGAGCCTGGCTGACATCTTGTTTAGTCTCCTCCTCGCGTGAGCCCAGCCCCGGATACATCCTCCTCCTCCTCCTCCTCCTCCTCCTCCTCCTCTCACCCTTCGTGTTGTGCTCGCACGGACAGACACCTTTCAGCAGGACCACCCCACGGATCTTAAACCTTCTTGTAAACTGTAAGTGCTCGTCTCGGTTCTTCCTGTTTGTTTTTGCACTTGTTCCTCGGTTCCGTCCATCCTGGGTCGAGCCTGCGTGCTGAGCACAGCAGCAGCCATGTCTGCTCCGAGCTCGAACCGAACCGGGCAGACTTGTTGTTCAGGCACTTTGGACCCGTTCTGGCCGCTGCTTGTATTTTTTCCCGCCTAAAAGTCAACGGATCTGAATCGTTTTTATTTCTTGATGGTTCAAGAACTTTTATATTAAACACAAAATATTTATTGTAGATCTGACTGAACCGAGGTTTAAGTGTGGCTGTGGGAAAGCTGTGTTCCGGTTCGACAGTTCCGGGTTGTGAAGCCTCCATCTTGTCAAAACTGAACCCTCCTCTTCCTCAGGATGAAGGTCAACACAAGGACGCAGGCCCGGTTCTGACACGTTGTTCTGTGGGTCATCAGTGTCCTTTAGTTATTAATCAGGTTTTTAAAAGACCCAGAGTGCGGTTCTGAAACATGAAACCGAGCTGGTCATTGAGTCCTGCAGGCCCAAACAAGAAGCTGGACAGGTGTCCTCTGGACAGACAGGTTGGTCTCTGTTGGTTTGACCTTCAGATGTCTATCCTGACATAAGGCCTCTGGATCAAAGGTCACAGGTTTTCAGTTTAGATGTGCTCAGGGGGTTAAGGACCTTGCTCAAGGGCCCAGGGTCAAGGCAGGTGTGGGTGCTTCACCTTTTCCACCCACATTTTGATGTTGTCAGTCCAGGGAGTTGAACCGGCGACTTTCCGATCACAGGCCCACCTTCTCAAAACTCTGCACCACCACTCCCCTCCACCTTATAGAGCCCATAATTATAACTACACTACAGTTTGTTTGTTTTTCCTGTTAAAGTGTTTTCTACCAGTTTTCAGGGTGTTCGTCTGAGTGAGAGCTGCACAGTGTGGACAGGACACTCTCTGTAGTCGTTCATATTTTCTCCAGATATTTGACCACACCTCTGTCCAGCCACCTCCAAGAGAAGGGGTTCTCTGCAGACCAAAAGTGGGTGTTTCTAGAGAATAGGCGTTTGTAGAGGGCAAACACTGATTGGCTAACTGGCGCTTTAGGTAAGTTACATCAGCTCAGGAGCTGAAACTTGGAGTAGGATTGACCCTTAAAATATGAGACAGCTGGAAGTTAACCAGTAAACAGAAATACCTGCTCCAGTTGCAGAAATCTTACAGAAACTGACACTCATCTGCAGTGACTGATTTAAAAGATTGAACAAGAAAATGTGAAGTTAAAGGAAACATCCTTTGTCCCAAAGCCAGTTTAAGTATTGTTAATATTTTGGTTACTTTATTTTTCTTTCTTTATGAATTGATTGTAACTATTTTCACATTCTAAAAAGTTACATCTGGTCCTCTGGACATTCAAAAAACAAAACAACAACAACAAAAAATTAGAAACGTTTTGTCTTTCACCTGAAACACTTCCTCCGTCTGAGGTGCTGTATCAGTTCAGTCTTATAAATAGCACCTTCTCAGAGTGGATCAACCAGTTTGCTGCTGGGCCCTCCAGACACGCCCATTTTTCTATCATCCAATCAGATGTGCCCCCCCCCCCCCCCCCCCGGATACGCCTTCCAAATTTGTCTGCAGAGATACCTACTTGATCTCCAAACTCAAAACCATCTAGCAGCTATTCCTGCTTTGTACAACCCGTGCTCATTTGACATTACTCCTGCTGTGCTTATGAATAAATCACTAGAAGAGTCAGCACAAGCTGGCGTCTTAATGAGTGCAGGATTCAGCTGTTCACCTGTAGTCTCTGATGGGGATTTGTTTCATGATGTCTCAGTTGGTGAAAGGTCTGGACTGCAGACAGGCCAGTGAAGCACTCCAACTCTTGTACAACGGAACCATCTTCTCCTTTCTGGATTGCTGCTGCCCATCCTAGCTGTCATTGTGCAACATGTGCACCCAGAACAGATTCCGTCATTTTTCCCAGTTACAAAAGTGAGTTTTGAACCAAACCCATCAGGGTTCAAGGTCAGAACTATGCATGTGCTACTTTGAAGCCATGTTGTGTGTGTAATGTTGCAGTATGCAGTTTAGCATTGTCTTGCTGAAATATGCAAGGCTTTCCTTGGGGGGTAAAAAGGTCGTAATCTGGATAGGAGTATACACGTGCATTTAAAACAATTTGAGTATCGTGAAAAAGTTCAATACTTTTTGTCAATCGTTTCAGAAAGTGAAAACCCATATAATGCATATGGTAGGTTCATTGCACAGAGTGAAATATTTCAAGCCTTTATTTCTTAATTATAGCTTAGAAATTATGAAAAGCTTAAATTCAGTCTCAGAACATTAGAATATTGTAAACTGGTGAGCTACAATTGTCTCATTCCTCAAGTCCAGCCACTCCAGAACCAGAGGCAACGTCAGAAGCATCTTACCTGCTGAGGACACAAAGAACTGGACTGTCTCACAGTGGTCCAATGTCCTCTTTTCAGATGAAGGTAAATCTTCATGTCCTTTGTAAATCAACGTCTCAGAGTCTGGAGCAAGAGTGGAGAGGTCCAGAATCCATGTTGGAAGTCCAGAGTGAAGTTTCCACAGTCATTGATGGTGTGGTGCTACAAAATAGAAGTCCAGTTTTTGTTTTTACAACCTTTTTTTGGATGTAAGCCAGAGGCTATGAGGGGTTCAGTGTCTTGCCCAGAGACACTTCAGCATGTGACTGCTGGTGGATTCAAACCCCCAACTCCTGCATTGGAGGACGACTGCTCTAACCACTCAGCCACAGCCGCCTGGTGTATTGAACCGGTTCGGTTCGGTCCACGTGTGTACTGTTTCGGTTATTTTTTCACTCATTAAATTTTATTAATGAGAAATTATGCGCCGCGGAACTAAAGTTCCTAAGCGTGTTTCAGCACGGCGCTATTATCTTAAGCACATGTAGCATTAGCAGCCTAGCATGTTGTTGCGGTCTCCTGTTTGGGAACATTATGGCTTTCTTAAAAGACAAGTGAACAAATCCAAAGCTGTGTGTCGACGTTGTTTCACGGAGAGTGGATCTGCAGCAGCAACACGTCTAACTTGTTAACAACTTGAAACAACATCATCCGACCGTGAACGTCTCTTCTAGCAGCTTGTTGCAAACACCGATAGCAGCATTTAAACAACCTTTTATCAGGTAATTCAGATCGGTTCAAAGCAATAAAACAAGCTGTAGGAGTTTTGAAAGCTCTGGATCTACGTCCGAATGTTGTTGATGTGCCAACTTTAAAGTACTTGAGCCCCGCTACAACATCCCATCACGTCAATACTTCAGCCAAAAAGTTGTACTTTATGAAAAAGTTAAAACTGATTGTCAACAAGCCCTGGAGTCCATATTGAAGCCCTGATGATGATGATGATGATGATGATGAACGAGAGATTCAACCACCTCATAACAACCATTCAAGAAGAGGTATTGTTCTTTTATTATTATCTAATTAACTTTTTTACATTTAAAATTATAATCTTATTAACTCTTTTTTTTTTTTTTTTTTACCTCTTTGTGTTTTATTTCCAGTCTGGGACAGAAATAGCAGCTGAGTCTTCCTGTTCAGGGAAATCCACCAAAGATCACCTCCAGTTAAGAAGTCTGTGATGAGTGAACTCTGAACTTTTCCAGGGACCTGTCCCACCTGTGGGAGCAGGTCCAAGAGGTTGTGAGTAATGAGGCCAAACACAGCCACACTGCAAAATTAGCAAAGCTCTACCTCTTTATTCCTGCTACTGTTGTTAGTGAGAGGTGTTCTCCACTGCTGGAGATATTCACTGCAACTAGATCTGAGCTTTTGGTAGAAAATGTGGACAAGTTGGTCTTTTTGGCCAAAAACTTAAAACTTGACTAGTTAGATTGTAAACAGTCTGTTGCTGCTTATTGTTCTGGTTCTGACTGTTATTGTATTTATTAAGATTTTTATTGTTGTTAGTATAGTTTATTTATTGTAAAGAGTGCCGTTTATTTAAAATATCATCCAGATGGGTCGCTTTTATTTATTTTATACAAACATGTTGTTTACTTGGCATATTTTCAAAATAAACATTTTGTAAGTCTTCATTTTGACTTTTTTTGTACCGAACTGCGCCCTCCTTGAAACTGAGCCGAACCGAAATGTGATTTTAGCATACCCTACTGATAACAGACCTTATGGTCTTTCCATAAGAGCAACTCGGTTGACAAATCACGTCTAACTTCCTGAAATTAAACAACGATAAAACTGAGTTTCTACTCATTGGCACTAAATCCACCTTATCTAAAGTTAACACTAGTTTCTCACTCACCATCGACAACTCCTTAGTTTCTCCCTCCCCTCACATCAAGAGTCTGGGTGTCATTCTTGACAGCACTCTCTCTTTCCACTCTCACATCAATAGTATTACCCGGTCTGCATACTTCCACCTTCGAAATATCAACCGTCTCCGTCCATCCCTCTCTCCACACTCTGCTTCCATCCTGGTCCACAGTCTGGTCATTTCTCGAATCGATTACTGTAACTCTCTCCTCTTTGGTCTGCCTCACAAATTAATCCGTAAGCTTCAAATGGTTCAAAATTCAGCTGCCCGCATCGTCACCAAAACCCCCTCATTTAACCACATCACCCCAGTTTTACAGCAACTTCACTGGCTTCCAGTCACATTCAGAATTCAATTTAAAATCTTGTTGTTCACTTTCAAAGCTATCCACAACCTCGCCCCTCCTTACCTGTTAGATCTCCTGCACATTACCACCCATTCACGCTCCCTTCGTTCTTCCACTTCCATCCACCTTAACGTGCCTCTTGTCCGCCTCAGCACCATGGGACACAGAGCCTTTTCTCACTCTGCTCCCCAGCTCTGGAATGCTCTTCCCCCGGACATCCGTAACATTGACTGCCTTCTGACCTTCAAATCAAAACTCAAAACTCATCTGTTCAAGCTAGCCTTTTTACTTTAACTGTTATTTTTAAATGTTATTTTCTTTTTGGTTTAGTGTTTTTAATAGTTATTTTATATTGTTTAGTACTGTGTTTTTAGTGCTGTGAAGTGTCCTTGGGTGTTTTGAAAGGCGCTGACAAATAAAATGCATTATTATTATTAAATGGCTCAGAAGTTATGGTACATTTCTTCAAAATAAGTGGACTTCCACTACAATCTTGTGGAGGTTTGCTGAATGCATGTCCCAAATTTGAAGGTATCACATTATGACTTTTTCATAATGCGGTGGATCAGTGGTTAGTTGCCTCAGTCTTGTAATCCTGAGTTTCTGTGTTTGAGTACCGCTTGCATCAGGAAGAACCTCTGGTGTAAAACACTTACCATATCTGTTGTGCGAGGTAGCTCACTGTGGCAACCAACTCCTGAAGAAGGGAGGAGCAGCCAAAAATGTTATTGTGACTTTTACACTGAAACGGAGAGAGAATTAGGCGAAAGGGACAGATTCTAAAGCCCACTGCAGTCCACTCTTTGTAAATCTCCCCCACATTTTGGAATGGGTTTTGTTTCACCATCCTCTCCAGGGTGTGGTTATCTCTATTGCTTATGCTGGTGAAGATTCTCAGTCATCCAGGACATGATGAATTCAAAAAGCGCTCAATACAAAATATGTGGATGACACCTGGGTCAAAATCCAAGCCAAGGAAATAGAAACGTTCACCAGACACATTAACTCGGTCGATAACAACATCAAGTTCACCAGAGAGGATGCAAACGACAACAAACTGCCTTTTTTTGGACTGTTTGGTTCAGATGGAAAGGGAGGACAGCCTCAACATTGAAGTTTACAGAAAACCAACCCACACAGACCAGTATCTTCTGTTTGACTCCCACCATCCACTGGAACACAAACTCTCTGTCCTCAGAACTCTACAGCATCGGGCCGAACATGTCCCCACAAAGACAGAAGGGAAGGAAAAGGAACAGAAACACATCCAAGAAGCTCTTCAAACATGTGGATATCCTACCTGGGCTTTTGTCAAGTCAGCGAGGAAATCTACAAAACACACTAATAAACAGAAAAAGGAGAACAACAGATGTAAAAACATTGTCATCCCTTATGTTGCTGGAGTATCAGAGAAATTCAGAAGGCTCTTCAACAAGCACAACATCCCAGTACATTTCAAACCCAGCAGGACTCTCAGACAGAGGCTGGTCCACCCTAAGGACAAAACACCCATACACAAACAGAGTGGTGTAGTGTATGCGGTCCAGTGCAGCGAGGACTGTCCAGACCTCTACATTGGAGAAACTAAACAGCCCCTTCACAGACGCATGGCTCAACACAGGAGAGCCACCTCCTCAAGACAAGACTCAGCTGTTCACCTCCACCTCACAGATAAGGGACACTCATTTGAGGACCAAAATGTGCACATTTTGGACCGAGAACACAGATGGTTTGAGAGGGGGGTGAAGGAAGCAATTTATGTAAAAAGAGAAAAGCTGTCTCTTAACAGAGGAGGAGGCCTCAGATTTCCACTTTCAAAAACATATAATGTAACTTTAAGACAGATTCCCAGAAATTTTTCACACTTGATGGGAACAGAGGGGCCTCGTCTGTGAATTAGAGTAACAAAGACTTTTGGGGGGCCCCTACTGTTAAGGTGTTTAGGTGTGAATTGTCAATCTACATATGTGTGTGTGTCTTATCTCACTCAGCCTTATAACCTGAATTTCTCACTCACTGCTCTTTGAATTGAGAAAGCTCCTCGGATGCGGAGTCAAACGTCTTCAGTTACAAATAAAGTCCAGTTGTTTTTGTATTGAACGCTTTTTGAATCTCTATTGCTTGTACATTTTTTTCTACCACATCGTTTCCTTCCCTTTGCCTCTCTATTAATGTGCTTGAACACAGAGCTCTGTGAACAGCCAGCCTCTTTAGCAATGACCTTTTGTGTCTTGCCCTCCTTGTGCAAGGTGTCAGTGGTCGTCTTTTGGACAACTAAGTCAGCAGTCTTCCCCATGATTGTGTAGCCAACAGAACTAGACTGAGACCATTTAAAGGCCTTTGCAGGTGTTTTGAGTTGATTATCTGATTAGAGTGTGGCACCAGGTGTCTTCAATATTGAACCTTTTCACAATATTCTAATTTTATGAGATACTGAATTTGGGGTTTCGTTAGTTGTCAGTTGTAATCATCAACATTAAAAGAAATAAACATTTTAAATATATCAGTTTATGTGTAATGAAAGAATATAATATACAAGTTTCACTTTTTGATTGGAATTACTGAAATAATTCAACTTTTTCATGGTAGTCAAATTTTATGACCAGCACCTTTACATTAAGTAGGTTAAAATTTCAGCCTTTGACACACTGTAGGATGTCAAAAATGTTAGAACACTGATGAACATGAGCGGTTCAGTGGTGGTGCAGAGGTTAGAGAAGGCGAGCGTGATCGGAAGATTGCCACTTCGACAACATCAAAAGGTGGGTGGAAAGGTGAAGCACCCACACCTGTCTCCACCCTCGTTTGTCCTACTCTGGGCCTATGAGCAAGGTCCTTAACCCCCACCATCTGCTCCCCCGGGCACCCTAGATGGCAGCTCTCTGCTCCACACAGAGGGCTGTGGTAGCTCAGTGGTTTATGGTTATTGCCAGCTCTTTGTGTATGCTTAGCTGTTCTTTGTGATTTCAACATGTTGACTCATTGGTTTTTTTCCCCTCTGATCTCTACAGCATTCATCATGTCAGTGCAGCAGAACCTCATCACCGCCGTGGCCAGCCCCGCCCCAGAGCCTCCCAGAAACAAGGTGACCGTGGTCGGAGTGGGCCAGGTCGGCATGGCCTGTGCCGTCAGCATCCTGCTGCAGGTAAGGATCTCACATTAAACAGTTTTCTACACATAGGATGTTTTCTTTCAAACTGTTAGGAAAATAATTATTTAATTCCCATTCTGATTTTGTAAGTTTGCCCACAAACCCTAATCTCTATTTTATTGTATGTTTTACTAATGGAGAGAGACTGAATATCCACTAAAATTTCAGAAAAGAAAACACTTTACATAAAAGTTACAGATTAATTTACATGTCATTGAGTAAAATGAGTACTTGATCTTGAATTAAAGCCTAAATCATTACCTGGTGGGAAAATCTTTGTTGTTGTTTCTCCAGGTTGGAACGCATCTCAAGCAGGTTGTGTCCCACTCCTCTTTACAGAAACTCTCTAAATCTTTTAGGTTTATTGGCTGATGCTTGGTAACTTAAAGCTTCAGCTCCCTCCACAGATTTTCAACAGGACTGATGAGTAGAGACTGACGAGGCTGCTCATTTACTCTTAATTTGCTTCTTTTTTTAGGATCTTCTTTGTTGCCTTGGTGAGTTTTAGGTCATCGTCCTGCTTCAAGCCCCATCCACTTCAGTGTTCTGGCTGAAGGAAGAACGTTCTGAGCCAGGATTTTACAGTACATGGGCCCCATCCATTGGCCATCAATGCAATAAAGTTGTCCTGTACACTTATTATAATAGCTTCAAACTATTTTGTTACCACCTCCTTGCTTTACTGTGGGGATAATGTTCTTTCGGTCATACTCAGCATTTTCCTTCTTTTAAACACAGTCGGTTGAGGTGATGCCAAAGAGCTAGAGTTTTGTCTCACGTGACCAAACATTTTCTCCCAAACATTTTCTAAATCATTTAGAAGTTCGCTGATGGGTATGGCCCAATTATAAAGGTGTACTATTAGGCCCCAGTGTTAAAACTACATTTTTGCAGGAGAGGCCATATAGGTTGGGTCTTATGTGCTATGGGTGGCAGCCGAAGGCAGGGGCCTTGGCTTTTGATACACTAACCTTAGTTTGCTAAAGTTGGCTCTTGGAACATGTAATGCCACCTCTGTGGTTGGAAGGAGACTGAGATTGTGTGTGACGTTGAGAGGTACCGACTAGATATAGTCTGTGCCTCACCTTAACACACAGCATGAATTTTGGAATCCATCTCATTGAGAGGGACTGGATAGATGGTTGCAAAGATTTTCAACTTCCACCTTTCCCCATTCCAGCTGAGGAGGGAGATATTGAGTCCAAGTGTGCCATGGTCCACACCTTCATTGTCAAGGTCACTGGAAGGATTTTGGTGCCACATGACGGCCATCGTCAAACCTGGCAGTGGACTCCCTAAGCGAGGAAGGCATTCAAGCTGAAGGGGTTTTCTTGAACATCTTTAGCCGATAGGACTCCAGAGGCAACTGAGTGGTATCGGCGGGCTACACAAGCTGCAACCCTGGCCTGATTGGCTCCAAAAAGATTCTGCCAATCTGTCAGGAAGCTGAGGCAAGGAAAGCAGAGCTTTACCAACACTATGCAACGTAAGATGGGTGCTGGTGATCTCAACTAGTGATGTTGGCAGGCAGTGGAAAGCTCCAATGTGGAAGTGCCACTGGATTGCTAAACTGCCAGATTGCGGTTCCTCTTTGCAAGAAGGAGTACTAAAGAGTATGTTCTATTCAAAAAGGGAATCGTATTCCTCAGCATCCCTAATAAGGTCTGTTCAGGGGGTGCTGGAGAATATATATTTGATAATTGAAACTTGGATTCAGGAAGAACAATGCTGGTTTTGTCTCAGCTGTGGAACACCCGACCAGCTCTTTACCCTCGTTTGGGTCCTTGAGGGTTGATTGGAGTTTGCCCAACCAGTCTTTGTTTTGTGTAGTCTTGGTGAAGACATTCGGCTGTGTTCCCTGGGGTACCTTGTGGGGAGTGCTCCTTGAGTATGGAATTGTATTTGAGGTCTCAGGACACTGTCTTTGCTATTTGTAGATGATGTGGTCCTGTTTACCTCCTTGTGCCATAATCACTAGTTCTCACTATAGTAGTTTGCAACTAAGTGTAAAGCAGCTGTGAAAAAGATCAGCACCTCCTAAGACCATAGTCCTTAGTCTGAAAAGGGTAGACTTCCCTCTCTGGGTTAATTGTGAGGTGCTGAAATGAATGAGGTTAGGTATCTCATGGTATTGTGTACGTGAGCAATGGAGCGCAAGATCGGCAGATGGGTTGGTGCAGCCTCGGAAGTATTGCATACTCTATGCCAATCTGTTGTGGTAAAGAAGGAGCTAAGATTCTCACTATATTACCAAAAAAATTAGATACTGTTCATTTCTTTGTAAGTGGGCAAACTTACAAGAGCAGCAGGAGATTCCTTAGATAGAGAACTTTACTAATTGGCTTTTATGTATGTGAATGTTCCTGTAAAGTGCCCTGAGACAACTTTGTTGTGATTTGGCACTATATGAATAAACTGAATTGAATTGAAAAATTGAATTGAATTGAACTGAGATCAAATCATTATTTCTTCCTTTATAAATCTAAAACATCTAGTGCAAATGTTGGTTTCAAGTGATAGAATACTAGTGTGGTTGCAGTGGTTACATTTCTTTTTCCTTTTTTTTTTACCTTTTGTAACTGTGTGTTCTGTGGTCAGGACCTTTGCGATGAGATGGCTCTGGTTGATGTGATGGAGGACCGCCTCAAAGGAGAGATGATGGACCTGCAGCATGGCAGCCTTTTTCTGAAGACCCCCAAGATTGTTTCAGATAAAGGTCGGATACTGGAGCTCTGCTGTGTCTGCTCCTATCCTCCCGCCTGACTAGATGTGGCTCAACAGATCATTTTTCTCTCTCTTTCCTCAGACTATGCTGTGACCGCCAACTCTCGTCTCGTAGTGGTGACGGCTGGTGTTCGCCAGCAGGAGGGCGAGAGCCGTCTCAACCTGGTGCAAAGAAACGTCAACGTCTTCAAGTGCATCATCCCACAGATCATGAAGTACAGCCCCAACTGCACCATCATTGTGGTGTCCAACCCTGGTCAGTAAAGTTGTTGAAGGATACATTTTGACCTATTGTAAGGAGTGGTGGATTTAATTTGGATGGTAGCTCCATCCTCCATTAACCAAAGCTCAAACAAGTCTTGTGTTTTTGTTTTAAATCAGTTGATATTTTGACCTATGTAACCTGGAAACTGAGCGGCCTGCCCAAGCACCGCGTCATTGGCAGCGGCACCAACCTGGACTCAGCCCGGTTCCGTCACATGATGGCTGAACGTCTCGGCATCCACTCAAGCTCCTTCCATGGCTGGGTTCTGGGCGAGCATGGCGACACCAGTGGTGAGTCTTCACCTGGGCTTCATGGCTGCGGTTCTGAAGCTGATCACAGGACAGTTAAACATAAGAATGCGCGATAGATGCGGTAGAAACAATAGAAATTTAGCCTACGGTAGAGATCTGTCTTCTACCGGCTAACCGCAGTAATGCTGTGTCTGAAGTAAAATCATAGTTGTCAGTTTAATCGTTACTTTTTTTTAGTTGAAAACTGCGTAAGTGGTGTTAAAGTCTTTTCTTCGAGAGCTAAGTAGCGAAGCTACAAGCTAAGTACAGCCGGCTTGCCGTAGTGTTGCCGTATTCTGACGCATGCGCAAAACGCTGTGTTCTGTCGAAAGTTTTGTTTTCGTTTCCGTCAAAAGTTAAAGTAAGCATTGGTCAGCTTTAGAGAAACCTGCTCTCTGATCTGTGAAAAGAATGCTGTATTGTGTGATTTTACTGCGAGACCCTCTGGTCAAAGCCACAGTCATTTTGTGCCAGCTCTCCATTAAAGCAGAAGGAGTCGCCCATTAGAGGGCTGGAGGGTGAAGTGTTTCAGTTGCTGCTCTGTTGCTGTTCATTTCTTAAGTAAGACTGGAAAATGTTAAAAGAGTTAACAACATATTCTTTTGTTTAAAACGTATGGCTAAAACTACATTTGATATATTTTGCACTACAAAAAAGAAGCCCAATACTTGATTTGTTTATTATTTAAAAACTCTCTGGACCTAGTTGTAGAATTTTCTCAATTCAAAATATATGATGGCAAAAGGACACCCTATGCTTTTTTTTTTAGCAAGTTTTATGCCAAAAACATATCGCGATATATATCGTTGTCGCCACTCTTCACAATACATATCGTGATATGAATTTTATGCCATATCGCACATTTCTAGTTAAACGTCTTTCAGAGTGGACAGAGTTGACCTGACTTGATATGCTTTCAGTGCCTGTGTGGAGCGGCGCTAATGTGGCAGGAGTCAATCTACAGAAACTAAACCCAGACATTGGCACTGATGCTGACAAGGAACAGTGGAAGAAAGTGCACAAGGATGTGGTGGACAGGTGAGTTGAGTCAGAGACAGCCTGAGACACACAGGTAGGACTAGACCAGGGGTGCCTACACTTTTTCAGCATGCGAGCTACTTTTAAAATGACCAAGTCAAAACCAATAACTTTCAGTCATGTCATCTGGACAGATTCTTTTTTTATAGAGACGTTTCACCCTCAATCCGGAGGGGGAAAAAGAAACTGTTCAGATGACCTGACTGAGAGTTATTGGATTTGATACCTGGATGATTGAGCATGAACTTTTTTGCCTTGAACCACTTTGGCTGTGGCTGCCTGCCTGGGAGGAGTCGAAGGGGGACAGGACAGCCCCCAGAAACCATCTTAGCTCCAGCAAACTGGTTGGTCCACTTGAGTTTACTGCTTGGTGGGGAAACAGTTTACTGGAACTCCTCAGACTGATGAAGCCCTCCGGATAGAGGGTGAAACGTCTTTATAAAAAAAAGATCTGTCCAGATGACTTGACTGAGAGTTATTGGATTTGGTACCTGGATGATTGAGCATGAACTTTGTTGACCAAGTCAAACTGATCTACGTACTATAAGGTCCCGTTTACACGAGAACACCCTCTGGAAATATTCGCCTTTTTTCACTGTTTAATAAACAAAAAATGAGTGGGTTTACTCAAAAACACCCTAGTTTCAATGTCAGCCAGGTTGCCAGATAAGAAATTATGAACTATAGTACTTTAAAATTACAGTATTTTGACCTAAACGGTCATGTGCTGAGTAAAGACATTCTAAGATGAGGTGTGTCTTGTGCTTATTGAACATGTGCACAGAAAAAGAGGGGGTAATTCTCAAGGAGACACGTGGTGCGCTTCCTCAGTATCCGTTAGAGGATGACACGAGTGGATTTTCACTCCTGTCCTGGTCCCACAGAAAAAAATCCTGTCCTGTCCCAATCCTGGTAACATGACTCCTGCTCTTTTGAAGGTCAGTTACAGTAAAAACAAAAAATCAAAACCAGTACATGGGTCACACCATGTCTACCTTAGATGAAAGAACCCAAACATACCAAGTTACATTTTACTAATTTATTGAGCAATTGTTTCCTTTAAACAGTGACATTACTGTCATGTTTAAAATTGTTTAAACAAACAAAAACAAAAAATGAAAAATAATGTACCAAGCAAGAGAACAAATAAAAATGTTTAAAGGCATTATTATACATTGGGCGACGTCCTCAAGAAGTTCATTCTATGTGGTCAAGGTAACGAGCTCATTTGGGCGAAGCATGATGTTGTGCAGCTTACCAGACTTCAGAGCATCATTTACAGACTGGACCATTGCAGGTCTGGTGTTCCACCTCATCTCTCCACAGCTTGACCAGTCCAGAGCCTTGTGCAACCTAAAATTGAAAGAAGACAGTGCACAAGTCAAAATAGGGTTACCGTGACTACAAATTACAATTTGTTGGCATCCATCCATCCATCCATTTTCTTCCGCTTATCTGGGGTCGGGTCGCGGGGGTAGCAGCCTAAGTAGGGAGGCCCAGACTTCCCTCTCCCCAGCCACTTGGGCCAGCTCTTCCTGGGGAATCCCGAGGCGTTCCCAGGCCATCCGAGAAACATAGTCCCTCCAGCGTGTCCTGGGTCTTCTTCTGGGTCTCCTCCCGGTGGGACGTGTCCGGAACACCTCACCAGGGAGGCGTCCAGGAGGCATCCTAAACAGATGCCCAAGCCACCTCAACTGGCTCCTCTCGATGTGGAGAAGCAGCGGCTCTACTCTTGAGTCCCTCCTGGATCATTGAGCTTCTCACCCTGTCTCTAAAGGAGAGCCCAGACACCCTGCGGAGAAAACTCATTTTGGCTGCTTGTATCCGCAATCTCATTCTTTCGGTCACAACCCAAAGCTCATGACCATAGATGAGGGTAGGAACATAGATCGATCGGTAAATTGAGAGCTTCGCCTTTTGACTCAGCTCTCTCTTCACCTCAGACCTGTACAGCGCCTGCTTCACTGCAGATGCTGCACCTATACGCCTATCGATCATACGCTCCATTTTTCCCTCATTCGTGAACAAGACCCCAAGATACTTGAATTCCTCCACTTGGGGTAGGACCTCCTCCCTGACCCGGAGAGGGCACTCTACCCTTTTCCGGCTCAAGACCATGGCCTCGGATTTGGAGGAACTGATCTTCATCCTGGCCGTGTCGCACTCTGCTGCGAACCGCTCCAGCGAAAGCTGTAGATCACGACCTGATGAAGCCAATAGGACCACATCATCTGCAAAAAAACAGAGACGCAATCCTAAGGCTACCAAAACGGATCCCCTCAACACCTTGGCTGCGCCTAGAAATTCTGTCCATAAAAGTTATGAACAGAATCGGTGACAAAGGGCAACCTTGGCGGAGTCCAACTCCTACCGGGAACAAGCCCGACTTACTGCCTGCAATGCGGACCAGGCTCTGACACCAGTCATACAGGGACCTAACGGCCCGTATCAAAGGGCCCGGTACCCCATACTCCCAGAGTACCCCCCACAGGGTTCCTCGAGGGACGCTGTCGAACGCCTTCTCCAAGTCCACAAAGCACATGTAGGGCAAACTCCCACGCACCCTCCAGGACCCTGCTGAGAGTGTAGAGCTGGTCCAGTGTTCCACGGCCAGGACGAAAACCGCACTGCTCCTCCTGAATCCGAGGTTTGACTATCCGACAGACCCTCCTCTCGCAATTTGTTGGTCTTTCTTTTGGGAAAAAATAATTTATCAAAAACAAGAGATTTACAATTGAAACTAATGCTAATACACACTGCGTGGTTCAAGCCAAGAGACATCGTCAACACTGGGGGGCTAAGGCCCCTACAAAGGGCTTCTAGAATCGCCCCTGGTGTAAAGAAATGAACTGAGAAAAATCAACTCTTGGCCTAAAATTTAACACAACAACATACACATCATATCTTAAATCTAAAACTAAAACGGTTATTATAATATATATGCAACCAGCCTTTCATATAAAAACGGGGATATTTTTACTGGAGAATGCTTTCACCAACGAGTTCGTTGTACTGGCATGGTTACAGCCGACAGTAACTATTTACACAATAAAGTGATGGATATTCACGTTTTCCTCGATTTCAGTATCCAGCAGTACGTCACAATATAAAAATAAGAATATTTTTACCGGAGAATGCGTGCACTTTAACCAGGTAGAGTTCGGTTGTTTTTTTTTACATTACAAACAGCGACAGATAATGAAGATTTTTTTTTTAATTCAGTTTATTCAATTCAGTTTAATTATATAGCAACAAATAACAACAAAGTTGTCTCAGGGCACTTTACAGGAACATTCACATACATAAAAGCCAATTAGTAAAGTTCTCTATCTAAGGAATCCAGCAGACAAGATAAATCTTGGCTTCGTTGCAGTCCCCCCATTTTAACCTAAAAACCTACATAAAAAAGCAGAGCCTAATTTTTAAATTAAAAGGGACAAGGTGGAGAAAAATGCGCTGTTTGAGTCTGTTTATTTACTGATGGTAAACAAAGTCCGACTCCCACCGCAGCTGCAGCTGAGACTAAATGTTTAAATCAGCACAGCACCAACACAACTCTCATGAAGTTCAGGGTTATTTGGCACTTTCCTGCCCGTTCTGTGAGTTTAATAGACAGACAGTTACTTCTGACCTTGTGTTGCAAACTATTTCAGCCATTCGGTTTCTTTGGAGATTTGGCTGTTCCTCCCACCCTCTCTGTGAAAAGCTACGGTGTTTTGACTTCTGGGAAATGTAGTTCTTTTGACTTGTGTTAAAGTGAAGGCTTACTGAAAGAAAACTACAAAATAGCTCTCATTATATTATCATTTTTGGTTAATGGTTGGTTCCCGCTCCTGTCTGCTCCTGTTAGCTTTCAGTCCGGTCACGTCCCGGTCACGTGAGTTATAAAGAGGTTGACTCCGGTTCCGCCGGAATCCGGCCAGAATCACGTGACTCACGGTACTCCCGAAAAAATGTCATCCTCCAGTATCCGTCCTTTGGTTTAAACAGTCTTATACTGCCATCTGATGGTTGAAAAAAGGTACTACACACAAAACAAAATAAGATAGAAAACATTTCTTCTTTGAACCAAAGATCTTTTTGGTAATGCCACTATCCTCTCCTCATGGCTTTTTCCCTTTTTTCATCTTAAAAAATGTATTCTGAAAAGGATAAGAAGCCGCGCTCTTAAAGAGCAACAGCTACGTGCACGCCGCACATCTTTCAGACGACTGTACGAACATATTCTCGTTGTATCTCTGTACAATGATAATAAAGCTTATTCTGATTCTTAAATTTGACAATAATTACTAATTACTGTAAAATTTCAAACAATATTATTATTTATCTCAATAATTTCTGAGACAATTAATCACCTAGCAAAATTTATCGTGACAGGCCCACTCTTACATGCTAAAAAAAAGGCTGAGCAGCACAAAAACACTCTCGGTGATTAACAACAAAGTCCATGTTCAATAATCCAGGTATACAATCCAACAGTTTTCAGTCGGGTCATCTGGACAGTTTCTTTTTTGTGCTCTTATCACAAACAAAACTAGTCTGTTCCACCCTGGAGCAAGCTGTTGGGGGGGTGCTGATTCTTCCCCCAGCAGCTTGCTCCAGGGTGGAACAGACT